AAAAAAAAAAAAAAAAAAAAAAAACTTTCTATTTATTTTATAAAACCGACAAGAATGTAAATAATTACAACACACAAAGAAACCAAAATATTCTGACCTCTAACCTCGTCCATCCCTCTGTTGACTGGTACATTTGCATAGTTTCCTACTTCCATTCTTATAGCACTGATACTCTTACGCCCTAGGAAGGGTTCTGCTTTGACTGCTCTAGCAGTTGAAGTCTCCCTGATATTAGTGTGGGGTCGGGAAAGTCATCATGTCTTATTTGCTGTTGCACAAAAATTACATTTTTGTCACCAGAAATAGGAAAAGAAAAAGAAAAAACACATAAAAATATATTGACAGGAAGTAACTATCAGATGACTGGCAGGAAATTTACCAAACACCTCAAATGATGAAACATTTGCTCTTGGGAAATCAACCAGTAAGAGTATTTTTTATTTATTTATTTTTTTACCATTTAAATTGTGAACTTTATATTACAAACCTTAAAGGGGGGTATCAGGCAGTTTGTGTCCCAACGGACACAAGGTCAAAAATATAGTAACTGAGGCAATTGTATCCACTAAGAAAAAATTAAATAAATAAAGAAGTATTGGTAATAATGAGTATCTGGGCTGCATTTGGTCTGTTCAGCCAACAATGACAGGAAGTAAATACAATGTGTTTAAAATAAAAGTTTGGCTGGGTTGTTTAGAAATGATCGATTTCTTCACATCTCCAGTAGATCTACAACCATTGGTGTTTCACAGATCCAATAGAATTTTTCCATACAGCTGCCCATCGACCAAGTCTTCATGCATGGAAGACTCTGATCGATGTAAACACAACTTTGGGAGAAGCTAGTCCAGAATTGTGGCTTTGGAGTGTTTGGTCCACTGGAAACAGAGAAACAAAACTAAGTGGAATGATTTTTCATAAGGAAATCAATTAATCGACATATTTTAAATGAGTGACTTGATGTGAATTATTGAATGTGTCATGATAAAGGTGTTCAGCATTCAAGACATAAACATGAAAGTGTCAGTCTGTTAATTTTACTTATTTACTGAGTTTTTTTCATTAATCCAAATCTCAAAATCCATCTAACTTGAGTTAGTTTCAAATTCATTAAATCCATCTCATTTAATGAGTCACGGAGTTTTAAAGCATAAAATGGAGAGACATATTATGGATGACAGACACAGAGGAAGAGTTTACCCTGATTTCAGCAGTCTTCCATCTACCCCCATCAGATACCAAATGAAGGTATTATTCTGTATTTGACCATACAGGCCAATCCAGATTTTTAACACTCCTCCAATGAAAGGCCTCTGTTGGGAAGAATCATGGATGAAACACCAAGATATGATGTTTATGTAACGCAGAAATATCAACCACTGTTCAATTTACTGTGGGAACATTTTCTTCAAAATGAACAACTGTATTATAAAAAATACACATCGACTGAACTAAGTAAGCAAACAGAATCAGTTTTAACTTCTGCATATTTGAACAGATACCTGTTCTGTTTCGTCATTCAGCATCATGAGTTGAGCTCCTTTGCTCTCACAGTTTTGTTTGGCGTACATCCAGGTGTTTGCCTCAGTAGAAAGTTGGTAGCAACTCGACATGAACCTCTGCCATCCTGGCGGACACTTTGGCTTATTGACCTTCCCTATCAAATCAATGACAAAATTAGGACAAAATAAGGTATTAAAGTGCTTTAACATTAATTAATTAATAAGTAGTCAAAGTACAGCATGAAAAACTGTAGGAAACAAATCAAGTAAATTGTATTTTTTTGTCATTTACAGAAAAATATCTTTAAACCAGGTTCTAATTCAAGATGGTAGAAGATGTGTATTTTTTATATGAAAAAAAATAAATGCATGTCTCATTTAAAAAATGTTCAATAAAGGATCATACTTAGCAGTTCTGATATCTGATTTTCTTTTTCCACTATTTTATCTTCCAGTTCTCTGTTTTTCCTTTCTAGTAAATCCTTCTCTTCCTGTAATTTCAATTTCTCTTGATACAGATTGCATTCTTCTTGTATTAGTTGCTTGTTCTCCTGAAGTAGCTCATTTTTCTTCTTTTCCAGTTCAAGTTTGTTTTGAAGCAGTTCGTTTTTATCTTTAGCCAACTCGTCTTTTTGTTGTTTTAGTTGCTTATACCATTGGCGAAGTCGATTCTTCTTTAGATTCACTTTGATATTTTCTTCATTTAGTAGTTTGTTCTCCTGCAGCAATTTTTTTGTTTCATTTTCCAGTTTGTCTTTATTTTGAAGCAGTTCTCTTTTCTCATTGAACAGCTGATCTTTTTCTTGTTCCAGTAGCTTGTTTTTCCCATTCAGACTGACTCGATCCTGATGAAGTTGTTTGTTCTTCTCAAGCAGCTCATTTTTCTCCTGAAGCAGTTTGTCTATTTGTTTGAGATGTTGGTCATTTTTTTCAAGAAATTGTTCTCTCTCTGAAGGAAGAGCTGGAAATTCTTCCAGCAAGGTGACATTGCATGCTGAGACATTCATACTTTTTGAAATTCCAACTGGAAATGTAAAGAGAATAGATTTATTGTACTGTATCTGGTACCACTGAAGAAAAGCTAAGATAATTTGGAAATTATATTTATAAAATGTGGTTTTGCTATGAATAAAGTGAAGATATTAACAATATCATGTCTGATATTGAAGAACAGCTTCTGTAAACAAACCATGTTATTTCCATTTTAACTTATTTCCATCCCTCATGGTCCACAGCCTTTGGTTTCAACAATAAGGCAGTTTTTTACTTTATTGATTAATAGCCTTGTCTGTTGTTACTGATTAGTGATTGCTGGAGTTGCATAAGCTGCTTTTCCATTAAAAAGACCACATAGTACAAATCTGCTGTTTACAATAAATTTAATTGTGTTCTTACGAACATGCTGGTAACACTTTATTTGAAGGGGGGTGAATAAGACTGTCATGACACTGTCATAAACATCTGTCATGAACATGAATAAGCCTTCATGAATATTTATGACTGTTGTCATAAAGCATCATTCGGTAAATTATGACACTTTTAATACAAAGTTGACATTATTCAAAATGTCTTTCTTATGACAACGTGACCTTAACCAAGAAATCATTACTGATATAAATTTGTTATAAAAGTATTACTGATTGCACTTTAAAAATTAGGTAACTTTATGTTATTAAAGGTAAAGTTTAAACAGTAATGATTTCTTGGTTAATGTCAAGTTGTCATAACAAAGACATTTTGAATAATGTTAACTTCGTATTAAAAGTGTCATCATTTACCGAATGACGCTTTATGACAACAGTCATAAATATTCATGAAGGCTTATTCATGTTCATGACAGGTGTTATGTCATGTTTATGACGGTGTCATGACAGGCTTATTCAACCCCCTTCAAATAAAGTGTTACCAACATTTTTGCTTTATTCATTCATGAACACAACTTTATAGTGTGCAATATGCTTCAAAAGGCTAAGACACCTTAACCTTTCCACATTCTGCCTAAAAACACAACATTTCTTGTTTTATTATTATTGCTATTCTTATTGGGTTTTTATCTTTGCAGTCATCTCAGTCGTTTTACAGTTGTTACCCTTTTTTCCAAAATAATGTGGATTGTACTTTCAAAGTTGAAGAAGACAATAGGAAGTGGTAAGAGGATGATGGCGCAGCATGATTTTTAATGACTTATCCCATAAATTATTATTATCATTATTACACATAATTATGTTTTTTTTTTTTTCAACATTAGCAGAATAGACAAGTTTTGCTCAAATTTGTAATGGAGACACAGCTACAGAGATACACAGAGGATCCACCCTCACATACAACACAGAAGAGAATAAAACTGGTGGAAAACAGAGAAAAGAACAACGGATCCTAACAGCAACTAGAGGTTACTGCTACGAAAAATATCAATGTATGATGCCAGGTGTCAGGTTAGAGTGTGTTCGCCTTCTCACCGGATTGATACCAAAGGTAAACGTTGAGAGCTGATTGTGTGATGCACAACAGGACAAAGCTGACTCCAATCAGCTGGTAGACTTTTGATCGTCCTATAAGAAACACAAGAAGCACAACATGTATTAGATACATACATCTGATGAGAACTACAGTTGTACTTTTAGTTGTTTCTACATGTTAGGTTTTGGATAGTACAGTTGACAGACTGAGGAGCCGTAGAATAGATGTGAACACTCAGAAGTTTAATGATTTTATTCCAAAATATTTTTCTACCAACTGCGTTACTTACGGGTATATTAATGTAGCTCTGGAGGAAGCTACAATTGCATCAACAACTCTGGGATTGCAAGATAAATACTCATCCTACTGAGTAAATAAATAAAGGTCATCCATAAAACACATGAATAAATTTCCATATTTACACACTTACATACAGTTCCATGAAAATGTATTTGTCCCCTTTCAGACTTAATCTTTTTTTTTTTTTGCTTTTTTGTCACATTTGAACATTTCAAATCACCAAACAAAAATCTTTAATTCAGAAGATTATTCTTCTGACACTCAGAGATACACTCAGAGTAACCTGAGTATGTCAAAAAGCAGATTCAAATGCGGTTTGGAAACATTTTTCCTTAAATAAATAAAATTATTTGAAATTTATATTTTTTATTTACTCAAGTATTCTTTGTCTAATAATAACATTAGTTTGGTCTCAAACATTGAGATATACTGTTGGATGTCTCTTAAAAAAATAATTAAAGCAACGAGGTTGCTAATTACATTCAGATTCCTGAGATTTTTGAAACAAGAATATGATTAAATAGTCTTATTAATTGCACAAACCTCAGCCAAATCATTAGAAACTGCGTTTTTTTTTGTTTTTTTTCCCAACTTCCCAGGTATTCTAATAAGCCAACCACTTTCAATAATTTTCTCTTAGGTGTGTTTGGAACTGGAGACATATTAAACAAAAAAAAAACAAAACAACAACAATACATATTTAGTAAAAAATCAAATATTGATTTGAGTTAAAGAAAACATTCCTACATTGTGTATATGTTAGGCAGAAAAAGTCAAAAAGGAACAAATACACAATGATTAATATATGGCGTGATGAATCCTGTGTGCAGCTTGTTATATGATTGCAAGTCAAATGTCAAATTCTGCTGTATCCTGCATCACCTTAGAATTAGAAATTGTAATGAGACATATTTAAGAAATTCTCACCTAAAGAACATCTCCGTCTCTCCATTGATCTGTTGGATAGTGAATTCATGTATTCATGACCCTCCATCTTCTGATGGTCTTGGCTCAGTGGCTAGAAGAAGTTCTGCCTGAGTGTCCAGTGATGCAACTATCACTCGCCCTTTTTTTAAGCCAGCTGGTTACAGTGCAGTGGAAAAAAATAGGTCACATGTTGCAAAGTAATATATGGCTGATCTTAAAAATATACTATGGAAATAAAATGTGGTTCACTGACAGGGAATTCACCAAACACCTTCAACTTTCTTTAGAAACATGGAGGTAGGGTGCGGTTTCTATACGAGCAACTTTTTCAGGTTAAGGATCTTTGAATAAGTAGAAAAATACTACATGTTTAATCTTTAGCTTTTGATTAGAAACACATTTTTGATGATACGTTGCAGGCTATTCTCAAAGGGAACCTGGGTGTAATCTTAATTAGCAGAATTTTCAACAATTTCGCTGCAAACAACGTTAGCAGTGAATGTACTGTTTCATGGCAACGTAGAGATATAAAGTGTATTCATTGCACCTACAAAAAACACATCCTGTACCACACAGACGTGCACATATACTTCCCTTATGACTTCATATCCTGAACTGCTGTTATTATGGGTTGCTTTATTTTCTATCACTAGTGGTGTAAAAGTCTTAGCAGTCTTACACTCTTAGTCTATTACAATACAGTGCATCAAAGGTACATTAAGTAAAATCACTAAAAACACAGCAGACAGCCAAATGTACATCATTAGAAGACAAAGAACAAATATGCATAAGCTTTAAATACAATAAATCTGATATAGAAGGAGTATTTGTTAAATTATAACTGTATCTGCCCTTTGTCATGTAAAATGTTATTGCTGTATGATATTGTTGAGCTGTTCAGGCTTGGTGGAGTTTATTAGATCTACAACTGCTTTTTGTAGATCTAATAAAACTCTGCGGTAGAGGCAAACCGTTTGGACATTTTGGTGTCAGATAGTGATGAAGTAAGTGCTGGCATGTCATCATACAGAGTATGCAGTAATTTTCCACACCTCGTTTTATAACGTTGCTCTCCTTTGTTTAACACTGTAAACTTTATGATTTCAGTTTCTAAATCCCAAAATGCTCTGATTACACATTATTGTGGAAGCTGCAGTCTTCCTGTTTTGTCATTATGCTGGGGACCTGGGATGGAGAAAAGCCTGGTCTCTGGGAGCCAGGTCCTCTGTTGTGAATGTTAGTTTTGTGTACCAGGAAGGTGAAAAAGGCTTTTGGTAATTCTCAGAATGAGGTATTATCTCTTCTGCCTCACAACACAAATTCAGGCATAGTGATTTTCTCTGCTGATTCTACACTATTGTTAATTTCAATGACTGAAACCATGACTTCCATTAAACAATCTGAGACAAACAAGCTAGAAGGTAGCTTAAAATGAGGATATCAACTATTTAAGTGAGATTTAATAGTAGGAGGGAATCAGATTCTTATGGTACCTCATTAAATCAGGCAAAGTTAAACTAAATTTGCTAAAAACTTGTGATTTT